CGCGGCACGCAGCGCCCCGAGGCTCTAGGCGGCCGCTGGTGGGTGGGCGGGCGCCAGCCTAGGGGCCTCTCCATTCATTCCCTCATTAGGATGCGGGGCCGCCTCCGCCCGCCCGCCTGGCCGTTTATTTCTGGGTCTCGCCCCACCCGCGGGCTGGACGCTCCCCGAGCCGGGCTGAGGTTGGGGTTTTCTTCCTGTGTGGCTTTTAAACCATCAGGACCCAGGGAGCAGATGCAGATAAGTAACGACCCCCGCCCCCCGCTACAAACCCCATTTTTTTGTTTCATTGGAGCAAGAACCGGGCACTAGCCTATTCATGACTGTCCCCCATTCTGAAATGTGTTTCTCAAGCTTGTTCAATGCCTGGAGTCCAGTCCCCTTTACTCCCTGAATGGTGGGGTTCAGTGTCACCCCGTCAGTTGGACAAAAGGCCAGAAAGCGTTAAAGAGCTCGAAGAGGTCTCTCTGCACCCCCACAGCATCCCTGGGGTGGGTTAGACTCAGGAGTCACAATGTCTTCACTGGCTGACCATCACTTCCTGGGACACAATGAAGTGTCACTTTGGCCAGCTTATTCAGCTTGTTCAGTAGAAGGCTCTCTGTGGTGGCGGCCTCTTCCGTCCAGGTGGTTTTCCCACCCCTTCATCCACCTGCCATTCTTGGGTACTGCAGACCCTCATGGGTCTAGCACATTGTACCTTTGCTAAGCAATGCTGCGTTCCTTACTCTTACCTAAGTGTTGATATTTTGCACTCTTGATCACTAGGACTAAAACCATATTTTCTCCCTATCCTCTCAATATTTCTTTTTCTCCTTCTTTTGTGGATGGGCAGGAAGATAAAAGGAACCATAGATAGGACAGGTTAATGTTTTGTTGAGCAACTTTATTAAATTTCCACCGTGAATCAGGATGGTGGGAAATTCCTCTTCTCAATGCCTTCATCTGAAGGAAGAATTCCTGCGCCAGATGGTTTTTATCCTGACTCATTAAAGGTTGTTTCTGAAAAGTTAACACTTGACCCTTGAAACATGGGCCCCAAGAACCTAAAAATAGCAAACACATATCCTGAAGGGGGAAAATATACTCTCCCTCAATGTGTCAGTGTGTAGTCACTTCTAGAACCACCCGTGTATTTATTTGTCTAGCATTTTATATTGTAAACACTTCTCAGTTTCACAAAGCAAATGAAAATCACAAGACCCTTTAGTGGTCATCTCCTGCTGCTCTAATAGCATTCAGGCTTTGGCACTAACTGCAAGGCCACACCCTGAATTATGGTGTGTTGCTGAGAATCCCATGCTTTTAGAGGCCTGCAGAAATCCAGGTTCACCAAGACTTCTTGGAAGTTCCTGGGGCATAAACTTGTACTTTTATGATCAGCTCAGGGTCCCGTTGCTTATAGAAGGTACTCACACAGCAACCCCATTGACCACTGCTAACACAAGAGTGCTTTGTGATATAGTTGTACCCATGTTAACCTGCGACTAAGCATCTCTGAGGGGTGTTCCGCACCATTGGAATTTGTATTATTCCTTTCTCTGGTAGCCTAGATTTTTACTTGGAAAGCTATTCACATGTTATCGTATGTCTTCCTCCTCTTGGTGACCTTAACAGGTATATTTATTTCCATTTTACAAACTTCCCCTGAATTGACTTATTCAAGGTCACGAATGCATCAGGTTAATGAGATACAGAAGAAGATAACGTGTAGGCCTGTTCAATCTTGCACCAGTCACCAGACCCACGAGCTCACCCTTGGAAGGTATAAGGATAATTAGAGACAGAATTCAAAGGAGAGGCCAAGATTCTGGCCCAGTGGCTTCCACACAGACTACTCTCTTAGCTACACACTTTGTAGCTGTACTTTACTCAATTATTGAAACTGAATGACTGTGGTCCAATAATATTAAGGGCTGCTTACCTTTTATGTCAATGTCAAGCAAGTTTTATAGCAATGGAACCACATTCAAAGGGAACCATTACTGGGTAACTCATATCCATAATTCTAATAAGATAGACAGGTAAGAAAGCTAGCTGTCAAAAAATGGCATTTGACTCACATTAATACAGTCCTTCATGTGCTGTTTAGCAAACATACACTTTTCATAGGTTAAAAAAAATCTTTGCTTTTAAAAAGTTATATGGACTATGTGATCTCTTCTCCGTTAAAATGACATAAGAGACTATTGGGATGGAGTCAAGCTGTTTAGCCTTAGTCCTTAATAATGAAAATAGCTGCACAATTTCCCTGTGTGACTTCTTATTGTTAGGGTACCTATCACTTATGATTGCAACTATGGGGAAATGGCAAAAAAGAGTATTTTAAGGCTTTTAGTAACTCTGTTCAGGGCTATTAACCAAATACAGTATGCCCAATCTAGAAGCTTCCAAGGTAGGTCATTGAAATATTAAAAGTTTTGGAAGAAAGTTGAAGTTCTAACAAAAGAGAGAAAACAATCTATAGGGCACTAAACCCAACCTGGACAGTGGCAAAAGAGCCCTGCTCTCCATCAGCCTCCTGGAATAGGACTTTTAGTAACTCCACTGGCCAATACTATAGGCAGTAGCTACGCTTGGATTTTTATTGATTTTATCATAAATAATTTAAATTCAAAAACTAATTTGATTCAATGCTTGGAAAATTTTAAGTTTTTTGGAACATAACTATAGGAATCTACCTTTTCAGCTCTAAATTTTCTGGAATCTGAATACAGATCAAGTATTTCTCATGAAATTCATTGGCTGAGGGCTGGGGATGCCTCAGTGATAAGAACCTTGGTGTGAGTCTCTCTAGCATCATGTGGAAAGCAAGGTTATGGCCAAGGTGACTAACCCAGAACTAGGGGTGGGTGGTAGAGGGAGACAGGAGGATGGCTTAGCCAGGCTAGCTCTAGGTTCATTGACAGACCCTGTCTCAAGGGAATCTGACACATGGCTGCATACATGCATCTCACACATACACCACACACATACACACACAAAATGTCATCTGAATTAGGCTGTGCTATAAATACCAATTAGTAGGAAAATAAAGAATGTAAGATACCAACAAATATTGATTACATATTAAAATGCTGATATATTGATCTATTGGGCTAAATAAAACAAATTACTAAAATTTTCACTTTGCTTATAGATACTGGCAAATATAAGCTTGCATATGTGGCTTACATTACAAGTCTGCTGCATAGTACTTCTCTCTGAGGTTAAAATTGACAATAAAGAGGTTTAAATGATGGAGAATCAAAGACCTTGATTAGATGCTATTAATAATTTCTTCTGTGAGAGAATGGTAGCCAACACACATTTATTGAGTTGCACACAGCAAACAATACTGTTCAAATGAACATTCCTCACCTTGCAGTTACTAGGAGTTAGCATCATAATCCTTTATTTTAATTTATTATTTTTATTTTATGTGTATGAGTGTATTGCCTATGTATGTGTAAGTGCACCCATGTCAAGCAGTGCCCACGGAGGACAGAAGAGGCTGGATCCCCTGGAACTGGAGTTACAGACAGTTGTTAGCTGCCATGTGGGTGCTAGGATTTGAACCCAGGTCTTCTGAAAGAACAGTCAGTGTTCTTAACCACTGAGCCATCTCTCTGGCTCCAGCATCATAATCTTTTTAAAGAGCTCAGTGGGAGATATGTTGAAAGTGTACAAATAAGTGTGAGCAGATTTCAGTCTTTGTAAACAAAGACGCGACCAAGTGTGACAGCGTCAACATTAATAGCTAACTCATAAAAGTCCGCACTTATTACATCAGGTACCCTAAAAATGTGTAATGTCTAGGGCCAGTGAGATAGCTCAGTGGTAAATGCACTTACGATGCAAGCTTAGTAACCTGAGTTTAACCCCCTGGAGCCTGTGGAAAGGTGGAAAGAGTACTGACTCCACAAAGTTGTCCTCTGACCACACATGTACTGTGGCACACATGCTCGCCCATCATGTGCATCCACACAGCAATAAGTAATTTAAAATATATTTCTAAATATTTTATTTTTTATTTTATGTGTATGAGTGTATTGCCTACATGTAGGTAGGTATACCTGTGTCGTGTAATGCCCACAGAAGTTAGAAGAGAGTGTCAGAACCCCTGGAACTGGAGTTACAGATGGTTGTTAGCTGCTCTGTGGGTGCTGGGAATTGAACTGTGGTCCTCTGCAAGAGTAGTTGGTGTTCTTAACTGCTGAGCCATCTCTCCAGCCCCTAAATATATTTTAAAATATACCTAATGTCTAACAGACTTGGCTGGCCAATAATTACTTACTGAGGGCATACTTTGTCTTAAGTTCTACAAAGTATTTACAGTTTTTCACTTAACTATTCAATTTGATTACAGGATGGACAGTTTTATAAGGTGATAAAGAATGACCCCAGCTTAAAACAAAAACAAAAACAAAACAGGGCAATGTCCATCAGGAAAAAAAAGGATCATCATTTCTTCTCATAAATAATTTGGATCCTGTTGCGTTCTCATGGTTAGTAAGCTATATGACTATTGTGCCCACATTCACCACTCAAAATGTAAAATCACTGAAATGGACAAGGGTATCCAGAAAAAAGATATTGTGCTTTAAAAACTATAAGGCTGGGCTCAGGAAATGGCTCAGTCAGTAAAGTGTTTGCCTTGCAAGCAGGAAGACCTAGATTCAATTCCCAGCACCCACATAAAAAGCTGA